CCCCCCCCTCCTTCTTCTTCTTCTTCTCCCCTATTCTTCCTTTCCACCTTTTCTTGAGCCGAAGGTCTATCGGAAACAGTCTCTCCACCTCTCCAAGTAGGGGTAAGGTCTGCATACACACTACCCTCCCCAGACCCCACCTGTAGGATTATACTAGGTATGTTGTTGTTGTTGATAAAAAGGAAATTACAAACTTTATCGAAGTATACAGTCAAAATGTAACCCCAGGCAAATAAAAACCTATCAAAGGCTTAGCACTTCGAAGCAAACGTAGCAGGTTCAATTCCTTAAACACATGATATCTTCAGAACACAAGTGCAAAATGTCGCACTAGCATCTCCATATAAAAGAATGCAATAAAACTTCATTTTGCATGGGCGTTTTGAACCAAGAAATGAAAAGGAGCAACCGCCAGAATAAATTCCTAGGGCTTCGTGTTATCATGTTCAGGCCTTTCTTGCAAACTCGCTGCTGCAATTTCTGACATTCAGCTGTGGTGTGCCAATGCCACCTCAGACATGAAGCTTCTCCGGCTCTCACATGCAATCATGCACAAATTGCCGTTTGCCATTTCTTTTGTGAGGTAATATGAGTATTTACTTTACGTATATGGTTATCGGTTAGTTGCTCATTTTTTGTGTTTTCCAAATTGCTATGTTGCTAATGATGTTCTTAATTTCTTCCCTCATTGCCATTTTGGCTATTGTAAAGGATTAGTATATTTATAAATACATGATCATATAATTACATTGTCTTTACGATCATTTATTAGTAATTTGGTATTGTTTGTTTGTAAACTACATAATCTTTTAATTTTTGATTACGTGTTTATGTAAAACAGTTATGTGTTTATTAATAAAAGGAAGACCAGAAAAGGATAAATTGCAAAATTTGTTCAATTATTTATCTTAAGACTTTATGCATATTTAACTAGATAAAATTTAAATTTCCAAACTTACCTCTTCCATAAACGCAGACTCCTTTGTAAGGGAAGCAAAAGACGAGGAATTAGGCATGATGGACCCAGTCAAGGAACCATTCTCCAAACCAGATATGAAATAGGAAGTAGGGGCAGATCCATTGCACACTTCAGTTTCTAATGCCAGAGTTGGTGTGCTTGGAGAAGCTCGTTTGTTTCTTGGAGAAGCCCTTGTGCTGCTTAACTTGGAATTAAGTTCTTCCATTCTAGACGTAAAGCCATCCATCCGGTCATTCAAGGTAGAAATTTGCTCCAATAAATGTGTGACCGCTCCCTTGTGGAATAAAGACAATGAAAAACTGAAGAGTGTCATGTAAAGAATTGAGTAGTACCTACAAAAGCTAAAGTGCTTTACTGTACCTATAGAAAAAAATATTTTTTTATCATTGCACCTGGTTTGATAATCTTGTTCCTGACTCTGCACTCATGTCATTCCTCCGATAATCAGAACTAACATTTGATAGATTTTTGTCCCTGTTAGTTGAATATGAATGTGACAATCCACTGCCAAAGTACATCAATCACAAATCAATTTGACATCAAAATCTTTCCCAGGACCATCACAAGTCTAGAGAAAATGAAAGAATCATATCCACTTCAGCTGTTCCCACCTACCCGGCTACCCTCTGCCCCAACATCAAATGGAGATAGGGTAACGTCCATCCATGTTTCTTCTCTTTGAGACCTATGCTCTTTATTTTACTGTCCTGGTCCAACCCCACCTTCCTGTACTGTCCTGGTCCAACCCCACCTTCCCCAAGGTCTACTGCAGTGTTAACATGTTTGACCAAAATCCAAGAATGACTGACAATAAGACCGAACTGGCACCAAAATTAAAATGAGAAAAAAACACCAATTTTTCCACACAATTTACCAGTTGGCTGTTTCTTCATATTATATCATTTATGCCTTAGTCCCACACTAGTTTGAGTCATCTACATCTTGCTCATCAACCTACTGCAATCCTTCCCTTTTGTCCAGGCTTGGAACCAGCTACGGTTTGCACATATGGCAGAGATACCATTCGTCCATTCGGTAACGGATAACCGCCTACACACGGTTATACCATTCCATAGTCAGCAGCCTCCTATGCTCTTGAATGTTTTTGCTTAACCTTTTCATTGAACTATATGTGAATATTGCAAGATATTATAATTTTAAAAATATTTTTTAATAGTAGAAATTTGAGCTCAACAAGAAATATAAAAACGAAGAAGAAATTTGAACACACGTACCCAAATAAGGGAAATGTTATCATATATGAGATTTCGTAGTATTGCTACAAAGAACCCTCTAAGCACATTAAAAGCCCACTTGTCAACCCGAGCATGCTATGCCATTTATATGGCTACAAAATCATGTCAATAAGGGTAAAATGAGAAGTTTAAAGTTAAATTGTTTCCAAAGGTGTCATTTTTTTGTAACATACTAAAAAGGTAAAATGTGTCGCATAACATGGAATAGAGGAAGTGCTAATGTCCTGAGGTACTGCCAGACGATGTATGAGTGACATGATAATGTTAATGTAGAAAATAAATTAACAATCAAAAGGAATAGAGATTAGTGTAATACACCTATGGTAAAATTGCAAATTGCATCTAACTAACAACCCAATGAATTCCCTCGTTTGCTTATTAAAAGGATAAGCTTTCTTGTCAGACACCCTACCAGGTGCAAAGAGCAGTTCATTGCAGATAAAATGAAAGAATGACTTACTCATGTACAAGAGTAAAAAGCTTAATAGAATGAATATCTTTTGACAAGGTATAAAATGAGTTAATACTTTGAAGATGATATTCTCTTTCAACATAAACTCAATCATTCATAAGGTGCGTATACATACAATCTCCCATCATCCCATCAGAGCGCAAACATACACTTAATGAGGTTTTATCCTTGTTTCATTAGCTCTCTCATGAAATAACTCCCGCAAGTCACGTCTATGTTCACAGCATTCAGAAGATCGGTCAAGTGCACATATGATTGCTGAAGATACCTCCTGGTCCCCTGCCTCTACTCTCTCAACTCTTTCTCCCACCAAC